CCATGCGGATCTCCTCTGGGGCAGGCGGGGATCGAACTCATGCGGAAGTGGCTTTAGCTTCTTAGTGCTGTGCTTTAGCCCGCTGCGCCACCAGGGAGGGTCTCATCAGATTTTTTTTAAAGATTTTTACTTTTGTGCAAAAGAACTAGAGTATAGGCCAGAGAGGATTGAGGGGTTTGAAAGGATTTACCAGAGACAGTGGGGAGCAGAACAAATGGATATACTGAAATTCACTGCTGAGGGAAGCAGCAGGCGAGAGGGGAGGTCTGCTGCACCATGTGGGTCAGCTCCCTGGCCAGCTCACACTCAGGCTATTATGGTAGGCCTTTGTAATGGGAGCACTGAGACTTAATCTCTAAGCCCAAGGTTTTATTTTTTAAAAATCTCTGTGCTGGGTTCTGGTTAACTTGATTTTAGAAGGGGGCTTACATGGAGGGATAGTTAGTCCTATTACAAAATTACTAATAGGTCTCCCCCTTCATTTTCAGAAGTGGTCTGAATTGGATGATATAGTATGTAATTATGTTGTATTACCGGCTAGCTTCTAGAATGTCTGGTTGCCAGTTCCTTCTAATCTCTTGTGAAGAAACAGAGATGGCATTTGTGATGAAAGCTTAATACTAGTCTAGAAAGTTTTCTAGGACAGGTTTTTGCATGAGTGCCTTGCCATGTTTGCTTAAGGAAAGGAAGGCTAAGTGTAAGAACCTGTGTGTGTGTGGCCCACTCCAGGAATCCAGGGCAAGTAGCATAGAAGGGAAAGAAAACTGCCCTTACTAGACACACAGGGTGCCTCCGCCCCACCAGGTACCAAGTAGAGTAACTGTGTTCCCCCATTTCACACTCATGCTGTCCTGGGCCTCAACTTCCAAACTAGTTAGAAGCAAATATCTAGCTTTACAGAGCAGAGATCTAAGCTGCAAGTTACCCTCGCATGTCAGCGAGGGTATGTCTAGCTCTTATGTGCCACTCACATGACCGTGCCACAAAGCGGGGTCGCACCGTTACTCCTCCCCATGTAGAATGATACATGGTGTGAGCTACCTCAGCTGCTGCTTAAATACCTAACACAAGTATGTACAGAGCTTTAACAGACTAACTCATACCTTTCTCTTAACAAAGTGGCTTGGCAGCTAAAGCAGCATCAAGCAAGCTCAGTATCAGTAAGGGGAAAACAAATGGGCCACTCAGGAGACAGCTTCCCCAGAGTCCTCATGAAGCCTAAGTTATCCAGTAGTTTGCACTGAGGAGGACATTAAGGAAGGACATGGGCAGAGGTCTGTGGTCAAGTTACCAGATTTCTTGTCTTTCTCAGCAGGCCCATGAGAATAGAAGGGTGTTTTGAAACACCAAAGCCCTGAGTTTAAAGAACCCTGCGAAGGGTGGCACAACGAGGAAACCCTGACTCCCCAATTGATCCTGACCCCCAGACTCAGGCAAAGAAGGAATAAACCGCTGTCAAGATAGAGAAAAAGGGATTGACTCTTATCTATCTTGAGCTCAAAGAGGGCGAAGTTAAGCCTTTGCAGCTTACTCGGGAAATTCTGGAGACTGGATTGATCTTCCAGGTTAGGAGGAACTTGGCAGCTTGTTGTCTCAGTTCTATTAAGGAAGACAGTAGTTTTAACTAGCCTGAAAATTGAAGCAGAGGACAGAGTGAGGGTTATGAATGTAATTATTCTCTTTGACGCCTATTGATGAACCTTCCATGGGTTTATTTTGAATAATTTACCAAATGATTATTAACAAAACTTTTTTTTCTTATGTGCTTTTAAGCAATTTAAGAAAGACATAGATGAGCACCAGTCCCTGACAGAGAGTGTTTTACAGAAAGGGGAGATTCTTCTTCAGTGCCTGCTGGATAACACCCCAGGTGAGATGCTTAAGGTTGTGAATCAAGCCAGCATTTAATCTCTCATCAGCAGGCCCAGGGACCCACGTCACCACAGTAAGGAGCCAGTAGAACAAGAGCCCTTCCCACTTGCCTCACAAGCTTGGCTGCCAGTGATCATGTACCAATCCCTCACCTCACTGCCCCTGCAAACATGGTCATAAAGCTAAGCCGGCCAAAGCTAGGCATCCAGCCTCCAAGAATGCACTCTTGCTTCTGCTTTTATCTTTCCATGGTGCCCTGGGAACTGCTGGTTTTAATCCAGCTTACCATTTGTTTTGACTATGGTATTCATAGTGGGGAGGCCTTGGGGCTCGGCCTTCCCTTCTCAGCACAGGTTGAACTGCTATGAGTATCTGCTTTGGGGAAGGATTCATTTTATGATTTGAGAGCAGTCAGTCTGTTCTAAGGCGAGAGACCCACGAAAGAAGGGAAAGGCACAGGATGGCAGTGGTGGGTAAGCTTAAGCCCATTTTGCAGAATGGATTCCCAATTCAGGAAAATGTAAAGATCACAGGCTTCAAGAACACATCTAAGCACACAGGGCACAAGGTTTACAATCACCATTACCCTTGCTGGACCTGTGCAGTTTGAGCCTTTGTACTGGATCAGATGAAACCTATTGGCATTAAATTGAACCAGGTTCTTTTATGTTTGTGGCCTATTAAAATATGAAAGTCTCACTGGGAAAGATGATTTCACACCCATTCTCCAGCTTTCTTTTCACTTGGTCCCAACTATTCTCTAACACTCTAAAAGTTTTTTTAAAAAAAGGTCTACTACCAACACACAGGACTGAGCAAAGGTCTGGTGAACGTGGAGGGGAGCCCAACCCATTCTGCATGACTCATCCCACTGCAGGGCCTTGCCAGCGCTAGTGAGCTGTCAGGAGGCACTTTGGCCTAATGATGCTTCTCCGATAGGGACTCTCCCTTCATAGGAGCTGAGCTCAGTACAGCCGTCCTGTGCTTTCTCCTTTCTGCCCGTCAGCACCCTCTGCAGATAGCAGCTTCCCCTTTCCCTTCCGCTGCTGGCAGATGTTGCAACTGTGGCAGGATACCAGGGAGTTTTTAACACAGCTGATAAAGGCACAGGAAACTAAAGTAGCCTGTTTATTAACAAAGGAAGCAAAAGTTTTTCAGAGGAAAAAAGCAAGCCTGCTTATTCAGGAACTGCAAAAAAGTTCCACTGGCATTCTGAAATATTACCAGGTCATCCATTCACATGCCCACAGAAGCTGATGGGACCTGGTAGCAGGCCTTGGCATCCTGACAATGGCATGCTTTGTCTCACATAAGCCATCTGCCTCACATATCTGATGTGCATCTTTAAGGTCCTATCATACCAGCCACCAAAAAACTACATCTGTGGCTTATTCTGTGAATGTGGCAGCATATTTTCACTGCAACCTGAATTAGAAATGAAAGAATTCTCAGCTTTAGTCAGAAGTTAGCAACATAAGATTCTCCAGTCTGGGATTTCTGGTAGAAATCCCTAAAGAATCACTTATTTTTAATTTTTTAAAAATTTATTTATTCAGGCACACAGAACTGGTGTACAGGCCAGAGGTGCAGGGGCAGTGAGAGGATTCACCAATGACAGAGCGGGGAGCAGAACAGATCGTCCAAGTACAGTGCGAAGGGGAGCAGCGGGCGGGTCAGGAAGAGGTCTGCCATGCCATGTGGGTCACCTTTGGGGCAGGCGAGGACCAAACTCATGTGGAAGAACTTTAGCTTCTTAGTACTGTGCGTCAACTCACTGCTACCAGGGAGGGCCAAGAATCACTATTTTAAAAAGGCAGGTGTTCTGGAACGACTGCTGTATTTCTCTTTTGTGTAAAATGCTACACCTCTGTATGTTCTCTGAAAGATATGCCTGCGTGGTGGTGGTTTTGTTGTTGTTTTTTGGCCTAATTGCTTTGAATCTCACTTGTAAGTGTTAAAGGATGTCCTCGGGAGGATCTCAAAGCAGCCCAGCGAGCTGGAGGGCCATGCGGATCGCCTGTATGACTCTATCCTCACCTCTCTGGACCTGCTGGCTGGCTGTCCCCTCACCCCACAACATGCCAGTGGCACACAGGAGCACTGATGTGAATGGCTTTTGCCTGTAAGTAGAGAAACCAAAGAGGAGAAAATCCGACCTTGGGCGTCTCAGTGCTAGAGCAGGGTTACCAAGTCTACTTTAGAAGCTAGTTGAACTAAATAAAATAAACGAGATGCTGGGGAAAGCCCCTAAACTGAGATCACATTAAGATATCAGTTGCTATCATTGACAGGAGGACAGCAGAGGGTCTTTCTGTGGTAATGAGGTAAAGCTCACTGTAAGGCTTTCCAACACTCGCCCCCACCCCTGCACCCAAGGACACTAGCAGAAGTCCCTGTTGTTTCTGCACATGGATACTCCTCCATGCAAGGCCATTACCCAGCTTATGTGGGATTCCAGCATGACAGCACCGAGTGCATACAAGAAACAAAATGGCTAGCAGCCTAGATGATGGGGCAATATAGGCCTCTGAGACTTAATCAAGACTTTCTTTTGATCTTTGAGGAAGGTCAGAATGGGAAGATGTGCCCAATATTTATGACCCCACAGGTGCTTTCTCTGAAACTTCCTCCTACAACCAGTGTGATGCTTTATCTCACATTTTCTAGGGGGAATTCACTGTAGACAAAAGACGATGAAGGGAAACAAAGTCCAAGTTATACAAAAGCAGGGAGTCCCTGTGTTTGCATCACAGTTGATTTACTCGTAAAATGAATACAAATTGTTGATTCTCCCTCTGCAGCTTCAACCTGTAACACATGCTTCTCTTTCTCTTTCAGGCATCTTCTTAGAGGTATAATCATTCAGCTAAAACCTGGTTGGTGTGAAACTTACAAGAAGGCCCTTGTAAGAGCCATTTAACACTGAAATCAAGGGGGAAATTAAATCTGCAATGTACTAGCTTTAAAAATGCCTTTCTCTTCCCTCGAGTAAGGGCTATTAAATTACTATTTTCATTTAAAATGATTCCATCCAAACTAAGGTCTTCCTCTTGGTGCAAAGAGCATGTGGCTTTGCAGTTTTAATAAAATGCTAATGAGACTGACAGGTCTCTCCTCCCCTTTTATCTAGGTAAAAAGAGCAACCAGCCCTCCTAATAAACTAGTTTACCTGCTGAGGTCATTTAAAGAAGGCTAGTATGAGAAAGAGGGTACCAAGCAGAGACCACCACTGCTACCATAGCTCTTAGCTATGATGCGGCAGGTTATTTTTTGGATATGTGGATACAGAAGAAAGTTCCATGTAAATTAATGGTAATGGTGTCCCCAGGCCAAGTAACCAACAGATCGATTGGAATGTGCTGTAACGTACAGGTAGCAGGGGAAACCTGTACATGGCATTCTCAGGCAAGTGCAGGCTCCAAGTGACTGAAAGTCAGTGGTTGGCCAGGAACTTGGGTCTTTTCATAGTGAAGCTTAAGTCTGTAAATCTCTTGCTGAAGATTTATTTAAAAGATTTTTAACCCTCTAAATTTAATAGTATGTTGTGAACTTTAACAACTGTTTTGGACTGCAAAGCCAGCTTTTGTCATCTTCAGAGACTTAAGGCACCATCTGCCTACATTACTATTATCTTAAAGAAACTGGCAGTGGCTTGAACAACTGCCACTGAGCATTCATGTGCTCAAACATCTCCCATTCATCCCCTTTGTTGGAAGTGTAAACAAAGGTCAGGGAAGAGAATGGTATGGATAGGCCCACACAGCCTATTCAACATTTTAAAACAAAATGATCAGCTATTACTGCTTATGACAGACAAATAACAAGAGCACATTCTCTACCCTTCCATCATCTTCAGTATTATAGTGGTCATGCTATGACTCAAGGAAAGAATTGCTCACACTTGTGGGTTGAGATGAGCACTATTTGAGGAGGGTGCTTCAGAAAGGAAGACCTTTTATAAAGAAATGAACAATTCACCTTAAACTCAAAAGAGGTGACACTGGAACATCATCCCCAATGTGCAAACATCCCCTCAGAACATAACCTTTTTAATACAAAATTACCTGTTTGAGACATGGTTTTAGTTTTGGGGGGTGTGTGAGCCACATAATTGTCAAACCATCTCATCCACCTCACCAACAGAAGCTTTATGGTGATTTGCCAGCTCCCTATTAACCTTGGTTTTAAACACAGTGAGGTTTTAAAAGACGTAACACGCTTCTAATAACATTTGATAGCCTTAAAAACCTAAATTGGTTAAAAGGGTAAATACATCTAGTGTTACCTGTTCTTAAATTGATATATTTCACCTTCTCTTTGAGGTGGTTAATTGGGATCACCTTAAACTGACAGATTTTTGAATATTTTATTTGGGAGTACCCTCTCTCCTAAGAAAGTTCCTAGAGATGATCTCAACTACTTTTGTTCATCCCCTTTGAAATACAGCCAAAGGGTGCTAACTCTGGACCTGGCTATAAATGTCACTGGAGAGTAGCAATACCCTGTTAATTTTGTCTTCAGCAGTGCTTTAAGAAGTTTAAGACTGCCCTTAAAACTCAAGCTGAAATTGATGTCAGCCTAAGAAGCAGTAACCAGCAGCATTTTCATGAGGAAAGTGCCTGGGTTAGCTTCAAGTAGCCTTGCTGGCCAGTGCACAAGCACTGTGGTAAATATCAGCCTAAAGACAATAATGGCTTATAATCACTCAACAGAGGTTTTGAAATCCCGAGTTTTTTTAATTAGTAGAAGTTAAGCCCACGGGGAAAGAGCAGTACTAATAACTGATTGGCAGATTGGAGACCAGGATTCTTTTTGCAGCTCCATGGCCGAGCTCATCTGCAAACAGGAGACAGTGTTAATAAAGGCTTAAAATAAGAACATAAAGGAAGGTTGCTGCGATGGTATAACATGTATGCAAAAGGAAATTTCTTCTAAGTCAAGTAGAAAGTTACTGCTCAGACCAGAATGGCTGTCATGCTGCAAGGATTTTCCTAGATAGCGCGACTGCTCAGGCATAGAACACTCCCCCTGTTTATATAAGCTAGTTTCAGCGTACACTGAAAATATTGTAGTCACTTTGTTAAATGAACAAGTTACGAAAACCCACAGTGACTTGAAATGTTTGTACTTTGAAATGGGGGTAGAAATGGGAATATACTTTTTTCAAAAAAAAAAAAAAAAAAACTACAGTTAGTGGCATATTCATGAAAGCAAATAGTGAAGCATGCTGAAATATCTTGTGGTAAAAGTCCCAAGTTTGACTGTTTTAACTATTCTGGGAGAAAAGACTAGAATTTTCAAAGTGAAATATGTAAATATGCTTAATGTTTTTTGCTCACTCACCAAGAATAAGCTTATCGTTTAAACTTGCTGTTCAGAGCTGAAGTGCATGGCATTTGACTAACATTTGTCGTCAGTCATCTACTTTAGAAATAGTTTTCTGAATTGTTCCCCCCTTTTTAAAGCAATGAAAATTTTCACCAAGTTAACTACTAATAACTTCAGGAATTTTCCAGTTGCCTTCTGTGAGGATGAATAGATCCAACAAGCACGTCTATAATACAAAGTAAACTATGATTTTATTGTGAAAGTCTCATAGATGGAAAAATTAAGTTTAATATTTATTCTGTCCATTTCATTTTACAATAATCTTACCACTTATTTTTGTACCACGTATTTCAACTGCCTGTTTAGTGAAAATAAAGAAACCTATAATTTTTGGCTTGTTTTTTAGTTTAAATTTTATCATTGAATGAAATAGGCCACCAGAAAACGTGTTGCCAACAGCCACACCCCAAGCCCATAAGAAAAAAAGAACATTTTGGCTGCTACCTTCAATCCCAAGGAAACAATGTTTGATTTGTCACCTTAAGATGTCAGCAAAAGATGTTCCCACAATAAAAACAACCCCTAGGATCTTTAAAATCCCATTTAACAATGTTATCACATGTGCAAAATTCCACTGAAATAAATATCTTCATCTTTTCCAGCCAGCATTTGTGTTTCAGTTAACTTTTAAGGGCTATATTTACTAAAATTAGGGCAATCAGATAATAAATTTCCTGCATTCTAGTTCAATGCTTTTAAACTCTCCTCCAACCTAAGTTTAACAATTGTGGAGGATAAAATAGTTGATAATCTGACTCAGTATGGAAGAAACCGTATTAGCACATGTTAGTCTGATCATCTGTCAAGTAAGGAAGGTATGATGTCGTTTTCCATCTCCACCACACATTAATGTACAAAATGTTAATGATACAGGCTAAAGAGTATACACTCTCAATTTGTCTTCCATACAATTTAATGTCCCCGAACCACTAAGCTTGGTTAGATCCCTACACAGAAGCCAGGCTTCCCTCCGTCATTTACTGGGTGCGTTACCTGGGAAGCATATTGATTGCTGCTCTAAGATAGGTCTACAATGCCCTGGTTGCACACACAAATGGCTATTTTGAATATAATGCAAGGCTCTATTTCCCTTAACCATAAGAATTAAAACAATACTTATCACCATACAGTTTGATATTACTTCCAATAAGTACAATATTTATTAAACATATCTTCAGTTGTTTTGTTACATAGTGTGCAACAAATTACAATATTCTGCAGCCACAAATTATATGCAGAGTATGAAGAAACTATTAATCAGATAGTGTAATCTTTCCGTTTATAACTCTACAAGGAAGAACTAGCAAATCAGATCTTACATATAACATCTCACTAAACTTTATGCATGGAAAGTGACAGACACAGGTTGTGCTGTTTGATACAAAATGGCTGAACTTCATCTTCAGAAGACTAAACCTGACATCTAAACATGCCAATATAAACATCAAAACAAAATATATTCTAACCAACCACGGGAAACAGTCTGGTATCAGGAAAGCAACAAGGATTACACACATTATTTTATAAACCAGCACACAAAGGTTTAAAACAGTTCTGAAAATGAAGTTAGCTGTCTTGAGTCAAGGGAATAAAAAAAAAGTCAGTATTGACCATTTACAATCTCTGACCTTTGTGGAGACGGTAAGAATCTGTTGTAGTGCAGCTACATACAGTACAATTCAGGCAATTTTGTTTTTTCACTTGGGTTCAGATTGCAAATTCATTGCTGTGAGAAAAGGACGGAGGCAAATTTTAGCAGCAACCTCCACCTGACTGCTTGACTGGAGTGCTCTGAATTTTAACATTGGACTTCTCTGCACCACCAGCTGTTGCTCCAGGACCCATTCTCTTTTTAATCTCAGCTGCCATTGTCATGAAAGACTGTTCTACATTCGTTGCGTTCTTAGCACTGGTTTCCAAAAATGGAATCCCAAGGGAATCAGCAAATTCCTAAGGGAATAAATAAGGTAAAATTAACACTGGAAATTTTCTTAAACTTAGTGTATTTTTAATCATGTAAAATGGAGAGTTCAGGACTAAGTCCACTGAATTCAGAGACCAATGAACTGTCATCAGAATATTCTAACACTTTGAAAGTTTAAAGCAGTTGTAGCCATTGTACCCTCTTCTCTATACCCACATGTAATCTGAATTCAACTATCCAAGTTCAGTCTGAAAATCAAACTTTAAACATACCTTGGCTGTTGTGTAGTCTACTACTTTCTTCGTGGTCAGATCACATTTGTTCCCTACCAACAACTTGTTGACGTTTTCACTGGCATAACGATCTATTTCCTGCAGCCACTGTTTGACATTATTGAAGGACTCCTAAGAAGACAGATGTTTTCAGAATGGTATTAGTTCTGGACAGAACTCATGTAAAGCAAGGAATAAACAGAAATGCCTTTGTAGAACTAAGAACTAGTGAGAGACAACTGTGGCTACAAAATAGCAGCTACAGTGCTGAGACCGAGTCAAACAGGTAAGTTCTATATACCTAAATGAAGAAACTAAAAGTTGAAAGCTTGAGGATGAAATATTCTACCCGCGGCTCAACATTAAACTATAAACAAGGCAAATCTAATTGCTCTGGAATGCAATTTAAATGAACTTTGAAACCTGATAAAACTTTTAAGCTAGCCCCGCAGGTAACTATAGATGTCAAAAGATTACTAAGTAAATGAGTCCAAAGTAGAGAAGCTAGTCTTTCAGTCACAGTAACAGGACAAACTTCTCATTTTAAGTACTTCATGGTAATGAGTTGAGGTTTTTGAGGTTAGCGTTTTTTTCTTCTCCTGTGTGATACAGTATTTCTAGTGGCAGTCATCTTAAGTCTGTGATTCTAGTAATCCATTAGCTTTAATTTCACAGTTGAGGTTAACATTTGCTATAAGACAAACTCTAATTTTTCAAAGTTTAAATAACAGACCCTGAAACAACTTTATGATCCAGAACAGTTTTGGCTCTTGGACCACATTTTCACACAATTTTCCCTGCCTTCTCTCAATGGTTCATATTCACTGTTATCTTAAAATCTTCCTTCAGCTCATCCCATTTCTGAACTACATCCTCCAGAGGCAGGGAATCCTAATATCACTTTTGGCAATTCTTACCGGTCTCATTACTGGGCAAATGTCCATTACTACAAAAAAACCAAGAACAGTATAAACCGAACAACTCCACAGTTCTGTAACAAAATCTTGCCAGAATAATCAGTGATTTATAGTTGATAATAAAACCAGAGTCCACTGAAAGCATATGCAAAGTCAATTTTTAATTTTCTACATATTTACTAAAGAAACATAGGAAGTTTTGGTTGAATAATCCATTAGTCAAATGATGGAGGGGAAAAAAAATACCTGTTTTAAAATGACAGCTTTAAAACATGTTTTGAATGTGATTCATTTATTTAGTTGTGAATGAAATTTTCTGCTATATAAAGGACACTGATGCCTTATATGCAAAGTAAAAGAATGATATTTATCTAAGAACTTCAACTTTTATTTTCCATAAGGCAATTTTCTGAAACTTACCTGATCTGTCACATCATACACAACTATGATCCCATGAGCTCCTCTGTAATAACTGGAGGTGATTGTTCGAAATCTTTCTTGGCCTGCTGTGTCCCACTATTAAACACAATCAAGAAATCCAAACAATTTCATTAAAATAAGAATTAGGGCAAGAGGAAGTACTAGTTTTCACAGTTAAGGATATGATTGGATACGGGAACATTAGCCCTGATTTTGCATGTGAGAACACTGCATGCTAACTGCCAAAACAGAAGGTCAAGAAAAGAAAGTGCCTACCATTTAGCTTGTGGCAATGACCAAAGTTATTAGTTAGCTCTTTGAGATGAGGCACTATTGCCATACTTTCCATATTCCCTGCACCCTTTGCAATGTGCAAGTCATTCAGTGTGCTGCAAAGACAAGCTGACAATTAGGAAAGCTACTGCCTAACACCTTTTTAATACAATACACTCCTACATAAGACAAAATTACCTACTAGCACATTTTAGCATCACCATCACTGAACACTGAAAGGACCTAGGTCAGTTAACTTCCAGTCAAGATAGCACTGGAACCATTTTAAAAGCAGGTTACTATACTCAAGCAAATGCTTTTATAAAGGGTTTAGGGAAAAACTGTTAAAAACATCAAGAGGAAAAATGAATTGCTGGACTTCTTAAAGCTTTGGTTTTATCAAGGACAATGATAGCTATGTTTAAATTGCTCCTAGACAAAGGGATCTCCTAAAAAAAAAAAAAAAAGGCTCTCCCTTGTGGCACAGTGGGTTAAAGCACAGCACTAAGAAGCTAAAGCCACTTCAGCATGAGTTTGACCCCCGCCCCAGAGGTGACCCACATGGCACGGCAGATCTCTCCTGGCCCACCCACTGTTCCCCTCAGCAGTGTACTTCGTCTGTCAGCCTGTTCTCCCCACTGTCTCTGGTGAATCCTCTCACCACAGCTGCATCTCTGGCTTGTACACCAGTTCTATATGAATGAAATAAATCTTTTTTTTTTTTTTAAGATTTATTTATGCTTACAGAACTGGGGTACAGGCCAGAAGTGTAGTGGGTGAGAGGATTCACCAGAGACAGAGTGGGGAACAGAACAGGCTGATCTACTGAAATACACTGCTGAGGGGAGCAGTGGGCAGGCAGGAGAGATCTGCCACACCATATGGGTCAACTCCCTGGCTGGAGATCAAACTCTTGCTGCAGTGGCTTCTGAGAGCTTCATAGTGCAGTGCTTTAACACAGTGTGCCACCAGGGAGAGCCCATAAAATACATCTTTTAAAAAAAATTGGTATAATTAGAATAGATACCTATCCCACTAAAAGATACTGATTTAAAAAAAAAACCCTCTTGATTGATGGAGTGACAAGAAAATGTTTACTTAATGCCTGAGGGGGAATACAAATGGAAATGAAAATGTAAGTTTCTACAGAGAAGGAATTGAAGTTTTGGTATGTAATGGAACTGAGAATTCCCCAGCACCTTAAATGGTAAAAAAAAAAGTTCAGGAGCACTCAGTAAAATAACTTTTGTCTAAGGCCCAACCACTACAGGTGTTAAAAAGAAGTTGTGGGCTCTCCCTGGTGGCACAACAGGTTGGGACTCAGCACTCAATCTAGCAACATCTGCTTCAGTGCAAGTTCGATCCCCTGCCCCAGAGGTGATCCACATGGCATGGCAGAGCTCTCCTGTCTCGCCCACTGCTCCCCTTAGCAGTATATTCATCCATCTGCCTGTTCTGCTCCCAACTCTGTCTCTGGTGAAGCCTCTTGCTGCCGCTGCACCTCTGGCCCCAGTTCTGTATGCATAAATAAATCTTAAAAAAAAAAAAGAAGTTGTAATCTGGGGGAAATTGAATACAGACACAAATTATAGTATAGTGTCAACTAGATGGGAGACTATAGAGTGGAGATGTACATGAAAGTATTTTTTGAAATAGAATTGCATATTGACTAACATTAACATATTACCAGAGGAAAATGAAGCCAGTAAGGTAAAATGTTAAAGATCAATTAGCTAAAACAACATTAAGTCACTAAAGCTTCCCTTTTTCCTCTGAAGTGCTAGACTGAAAAGTCAGAAACATTTAAGCCTACTGTCTTAGGAAAATGCTTGAGGATATCCTTACAGAAGTATGAGCTTTAGAATGAAACTAAACTGACTTCAAAAACATCAAATCTAAGTTCCAGGTTATAAAACACAAAGGAGAGTAACCTCACAACTTTTTCATTTATTAATCCTAGGTATCACTCACCTTATATAATGCCTGAAGAGTTTAAATGAATTAATTAGTGTTTGTCAAATGCTAGTAGTACAATTAGTAGTAGCCTAATTGTAGAAACTGCTCAATAAAGTAATATTTCCTTTCTCTGCCCACTAATCCCTTTCACAAAGTAACATGAGAAAAAAAAAAATAGCTTCTGAATGTCTCTCAACAAAGAATTGTATCTAAACAATGGCATCCCAAAAGTAAAATAGCTAGATCTCCTTACTATGAAAACTTCTGCTTCCTCTGTTACTGCTTACCCTATGTATTTAATACTTATTACCTGTCATACTCACGGGATAACAAATTGTCCTATGTTTGTGTCTCCCACTGAAATGGAATCTCCAGTAAGGCTATGTTTCATTTATCTCTGTAACCTCAAATCTATTTGAGTATCGGATATAATCTAAGCATTTCCATAAATGCTTCATGAAAGAAAGACCACATAAAAGGCCTTCTATGGTATGGGGTGGACTCTGGTTCCCTGCGCTGTTTTAATGAGTATTTTATATCATTTATTTTGTAACTGCCACCTCTGATAAAAACCAAGATGGCAATCTTAAAGGAAAAGCTAAAAAAATGAATAAAATATAGATCAACAAAATCATTTTAAAAGACCTATATAACTTAAAAGGATGCCACAAGCCAAACAAGATGAAATATAATGGGTTCAAGAAATAAAATTTTGCATTTAGATTTGAAAAGTACTGGCCACAAAAAGATGACTATTTTTAGATTTAAAAAATCTTAAAATTTAAGCCAAAAAATTACAAACTAACAGGTAATATGGCTTACTGAAACAGCAAATGTTGTTAAACAAGGTTCTTTTTTTAATGTTCTTGAATGGATTGATTGGAAAAGTGGGGTGGGATGGAAGAAATTCAGAGTCCAAACCAAAGAGGAATTACCTCAGTAGTCCATATAAGCTGAGCTAAATCTTCTACATGATTTTAGGAATCACACTGTAACTAAAAGGCACTTATAAAATTGAACCTACATCATAAAAGGTTCTGAAAACACTTCTAGAAATGGCTGACTTCAAAGGTATAGAAGGTTGTGATAAAATGAAGGCTGAAAGGGAGGTTGCCAATGGAAAAGAATTTAGTCTTGTTCAGTTCCCATAAAGAAGTTAAAGGAAATGGCGTCAGTTCAATATAAAGAATTAACAATTAGAAGTAATTTATGAATAGAGCTTGCCGCTTGGAAAAATGGTAAGCATCTCAAAATTGTTCATAAAAAGGCACCAAAGGCACAAAATGATGTAGAAATAAACTATTATATTAAAAAAAAAAAAAAAGGGCACCAGACATGGAAAGGAAATGCCTACTAAAGATGAAGACTGACTGACCTCTAAAACTTCTTCTGCCTCAGGAAAGCTGTAACAATATATGTATTTCACAAATATACATATCTTATGGAGACCAATGATCATACATAACATTCATTTCACATTATTTAAAGCCTTGGCCACATCTTTCTGAAATATTCTGTGTTGCCACGAATAAAGTTAGCACTCTGCATATGCTAGGAAAGATCAGGATGGAAGGAAATCTGTTCAATGACTGAAAGAATTACAACCATCTCTAAATATATCTTTGAAAAATCAAATTTAGAGTATCAGGTGTATTCACTTGTAATATACCAGTATTTTCCTCACCAGGGTCATGTAAGTAAAGGAATAATTTAAAAAAATTCATCCAGCAATGTCGTAACATAAGACTGTGTATTGACCAAAAAAGTTTACAAACATATTTCACATACATTACTGTACAGACATACAAAGTACTAGATTTGGTTCTCATAACCACCTTATGAGTAAGTAAATCAAGTAGGACCACACTTATTTTGCATAAGAAACAGAATCTCAGAGAAAGGCTGACATTATTTAAGCCCACAATTCTCTAGTAAATACCAGAATCAGGCAACAAACCCAAGTTTTCTGACTTCAAGTCCAAACTCCTTCCACTTCGGTGTTGGTAGGACCGTAAAAATAATAGTCAGTGCTTTTCTATGTTACCTCATACTAATAACCTACTCTAAGACACATTTAGATATTTTTTTAAAGACCACAGACATTTCCACACCAGTAATACCAGATCCATATAAAAGTGGTACAACTAAGATAACCTCATGCCATTCACAGCAACATGGATGGAGCTGGAAGGGATTATGTTCAGTAAAATAAGACAGAAAAGAAAAAGAAAAATATTAGATGGCTTCACTTAAGGGATGAATGTAGGGGAAGAAATAAGGGATGGGGTAAATAATTATAATAAATTTAAAAACAAAATTAACAGGCAACTATAAATCAGAGACATTCTGGGGGGTGAAGGTAAGAGGGATGGAAACGGGAAGAGCACAGGGAATTATAGTGACAGTCTACGGGTGAATTGGTGGTGGGATTTTACAGGGACTACACATGTGGGAGAAACAGACATTGTAAAAAGGAACAATGATATGAAATACATACTAAAAACAAAGAAAAAAGGTAAAAATATGGTAAAAATAAACTGGTACAACTGAATGAGTACAATTACCTATTTTTAATTTGGGTTTAGGGATGAAAAGATGGAAGGGGGCAAGTCACAGCACCCATTTACCAAACCGTAAAATAATCATGTTATAAAAGTTCCTTTCCCACAAAATTCTGTTTCTACAGAGTTGGTACATACAACTTAATAAATACAACAGAACAAGGTAAATACTCTTCAACTAAGCCACATATAAAAAACTTCTAGGTTTCTTTTGATGTTTCATAATATTTAGCTCAGTAAACCACACAGAAAATGCCCAATATACTTTCGCTAAAGGACAAGATAAATGTCAGGTTAGACACTTGCTGATAAAACCATGTTCAAGTTTGACTCAATACACTCTATTCTCTTTATAAACAGAAAATTCAATGAGGAAGGTAATCTTTTAAACAATTCTCATTGTTATAGATACATGATTCTTAAGCTATGCCACATTAAATTTTCATATATTAAATAACAATACATTCTAAATTTACCAGAATAATTTCCAAAAAAAATTACTTACTATCTGAAGCTTGATTGTTTTCCCATCTAACTCTATAGTTCTTATTTTGAAATCCACACCAATTGTGCTGATGTAGCTTTCTGTGTAAGTATCATCCTGGGGGGGGGGACAAGGAGGGGGAGTTAATGATTAGTGTTCAACAGAATAAATAAGAAAATATATAATGCTTACTTTTAATCTACAGAGTTGGTAAGTTTACAAAGCATAACATGTTGAGAAAAGCCATTCTACACTGCTCCAATACTCAGTACATGTTACAATTACAAAGCACTACTTAATAGTATTTTCTTGGGCCTCCTAAAGGGAAGAAGGGGGTAAATTTCAGCACTATGAAGCTATCAGCAACCACTGCAACATGAGTCCCATCCCCAACCTGGGAGCTGACCCACATGGCACAGCAGACCTCTCCTGTCCTGCCCGCTGCTCCCCTCGGCAGTGTATTTCAGTATATCTGCCTATTTTGTTCCCAACTCTGTCTGGTGAATCTACTCACCACCCCCGCACCTCTGACCTATACCCCAGTTCTTGTATGCATAAATAAATAGATCTTAAAAAAAAAAAAAGTGGTAAATACCAAAACTATGAGTACAAGTTGGGGCTTGGCACCATCTTGTCATAATGTGCACCGGTTTTATCCACTATTGCTTTCTCTTTTTTTAAAATTTTCTATTTAGTTTTGCTTAGAACTGGGGTGTAGGGCAGAGGTGGAGGAGGCTAAAAGGATTCACCCGAAATAGAGTATAGAACAGAACAGGCAGATTACTGAAATACACTGCTGAAGGGAGCAGCAAGTGAGACAGGAGAGGTCTGCTGTGCAGTACGTGGGTCAGCTCCATGGCCAGGATTTCACTCAGGCCACCGTAGCAGTGATAGCTCTGAGACTTAACCCCTAGGCCAGCAGGGAGGTCCCCCACCACTACTTGAGCAAATGTAAATGCAATGCAAAAGGCAAATGTCTTTTGTCTTATAACTACTTCTGTGCAGTTATTTACTCAGGAAATGTTAATAATATTAATAGTTTTGATCTCCAGAATCCTGAGAGGTTCTTCATAATTGCCAGGGATCATTGGTTCACACTCTGAGAAGCAGTATCTAGACAGTGAGCAGGACAAATATGCTAAATGTGAGTGCAGTTGATGACTATAAAGGAGGTTGTGGATTCTATTCATTGGGCTGAAAGTAATTTATCCGTAAATTTCAACATATACCAGACCATTGTCGAAAAAGTTTTATTAAAGGTTTCCTTTTTCTATTACTATAGTTATACTCAAAGAGTCCTTTCCATCAAATCATCTTTAATACTGGCCAATTATTTTCTCCTTCGTCACTATCTCTGCTGGAATGAAACATTCTTTGACCTCTATCAAGAGCATTAGACACTTGATAAACTTCTTTTAAGAACAATAGTATTTCTTTTATTTAAGAGCCCAAGATATCACCCCCCCTCCAGGAGGTTGCAACTGAGATGGAAAAATGCCCAAAATGAGGTGAAAATAAATAAATAAATATATAAATTCTGGAAGAACTAACAACTTTTTAATCTTTGTCTACCTAGAAGACAATGCATTAATTTCTTTAAAGGCATTTCAACTTACTGCAAACCTAAGAAGGAGGCAAGACTTTCCAACTCCAGAGTCGCCAATCAGAAGTAACTTGAATAAATAATCACTGCAAAAAGTAAAAGAAAATCTTATTAATAAAAAAGTAGATTGCATTTTAAGTTCCACAATAACGGCAATATAACTAAGAATAATAACTTGATAGCAGACTATAACACCTGAAAAACTCACATGTGACAAAACAGAAGCCAGAGCTATAAGCCAAGAACAGAAAACTTCCTGATGAGTCACTAAGACTTAATTGTATAAAATAGGCAATGCCACCCATGATCTGAGATAGTGAATTTCCATTTCCGGGAAAAGGAGGGAAGGAAACACTAACTGCTGTGTATTCCTAAAAATCCAAGAGAGTTATGCTGGATCAATCCCACTCCTCTGTTCTATTAGAATACAGGGAATTATTTCCATTGTTCTTGCCAACAAAACAAACCGTTCCTTCATTCTAAGATCAAATCAGTATTTTATAGCGTTCCTCAAAAAAAGGGGCCTTTTCTTTTATGATTCTTTCCTAGAATCTACCTGGAAATCTCCCTTTTAAAAAAAGGATCATTTAACTTCTGAAAGTCTGTACTATGAATTTATTTTTAATTATCTATCTTTTACATCATTCTTCATTTTGTTCATTTTATTATCTTGGTTGTACTATAAAGATATTAAAGATGGATAAACTAAAAACTATTTATGCAAAAGTACAACTTTACCAACACTCTAAAAGCTCTTATTAAAGCAGTCTTCAAAAAAATTTTTTGAAGAAAATGTCTTCAAAAAACATTTTTTGAAGAAAACAGAAACTAGGCTCTGTTTATGTACATTTACCATTGTGGGATCTAACTCAACTCATACCTAGGGACTCCTTCATGTACATGAAGACAAGAGACTACCCCATACTCAAGGGAATCTGTTCTATTGTGTATGCTCTTTTAAGCAATTCAAAACAACAAAAGAATCCAGCATTTACAGATTGCCTTTTTAGAAGATATATAAAATTTTCAATTGTTTTTTTTTAGAACATGCTACTTAAGATAAATCCCAATTTTATTCGTGATTTAAATTTATATTCAAATAATTATCATTTACATGTAAGCAAAATGTGTACCTTTTAGATGCAACTAACTGTGAATATTCATTAGTTGTTACCTAGTTTTACACAATGAAAATGTACAGCTGGCCCTCCTTATCAGGTAAATTCCACATTCACGGATTCAACCACCATGGATAGGTATTAGGTAGTTAGGCCAACGAAGTTTGCAAGGTAAACCACCTGAACATGCAGACAGGGTTTTTTTTCTTGTCATTATTCCCTCAAATTAATATAGCTATTTACATTTTATCAAGTAAAAGAGATGATTTGCAGTATATGAGAAGATGTGCATAGATTATAAGCAAACATTATGTATATACCCTTTTATATAAGGGACTCACACATTTGTTAATTTTAGAATCTGTATGTGTTCTGGAACTAACACCCCATAGTTACTGAGGAGCAACTACATCACCTAAAACACATCTTTTTGGCTTTACCAACTCTTCACAATACATTTATTGTCCCATATATCTGAAGGAAAGAATTAAAAGTGCCAGTTAGCTGCAAAATGAAGGTCACAGAAGGAAATAAAGCTTTTAAATAAGTAATTGAAGAGCTTGAAATACAGGATGAACTGACTATATAATATCCAATTTGAAATCCTAAAGAGGAGCAGAGGATGACTAAAAATTTACCTTTTATTTTGTGGGGGTGGAGTGGAGGATGGGATCAAAAATAGTGGAGGGAGGGAAATGCACTGGACTATGGTGATGGCACATGGGTGATTTGGTGATGGGAAGCCCAAGGGGATTGCAACGGAGATAGAAAAATGCACAAAAATATGTAAAAATAAACTATTACACATTTTTTAAAAATTAAAAGAAAACTACCTTTAATAAACTGATAAATACTCAACTTTTATTAAGTTATATAACTGCTGACTTTAATACTGCCGATCATTTCCTCTTTAATCATACCAAATAAATTCTTATGAATACTAAACACTTGCAGTGAGTAGAAAATTTACATTTCAGTTAATAAGAATAATCACACCATTGATATAGTTACTTCATTTTCAGAAATTCTGACACAACAGATGGCCTGAATTTATCAATCTCCCTGAGCACAGTACCTATAATACAAGTCAACACTAAACACTGAACATCCCTTCAATCAGTTGTACTGGACTCTGTTGCAATAAAGGCTAGCACAGGCCATAGATGTCAATCATTCATTACCTTAAAGTTCAAATTCTCTGTTTCAGAGTAACCATAAGGCTGGAAAAAATAAAATGCTTCCCTAATTCTGTTTCAATTACATTCTGGTTTCAAGAAAGTTAGATTTGTAAAAATTATCTTTTTTGATTATCAGACTCTTTAGTTTTATGAACAGCAGCATCTGAAACCATTATTTTGAGTTTCTGATCCTCTAAAGTTCTTAGAAATAAGTAAAGAAGAGTTGAACACTCCTCTGCAATGAGAGAAACACTGCTTACAACAGAGGAAAGTAAACAAAATCAAAATCACAAGCGTCTCCTTACTGAATATATATATATTACAGATTATCATCAATAGCATGTTAGTTGCACTGGAGCATTTAAAATTACCCACATTATGGTGGTTTATTAGTAAACTACTAATAGTCAAATGTTCAGCAGATATGAGATTGCTTAAAGATATTAAGTGATTTATAAAACAGTAAAAAATTTTTAAAATATGCAAATCCAGGACCTCCCTGGTGGCGCAGCGGGTTAATACACTGCACTGAGAAACTAAAGCCACTTCTGCATGAGTTCGATCCCCGCCTGCCCCGGAGGTGACCACATGGCTGGCAGACCTCTCCTGACCCGCCCACTGCTCCCCTCGGCAGTGTACTTCGCTGATCTGCCTGTTCTGCTCCCCACTCTGTTCATGGTGAATCCTCTCACCCTCCCCATCTCTGGCCTGTACCCCAGTTCTGTATGAATAAATAAATAAATCTTTAAAAAAAAATATGCAAATCCAAAATTGGAGCACAGGGTCAGAATTTACTACAAAGACTCAAGGAATAATTTAGCAAATGGGAAAATTTAAATGTAGTTTTCCTTTATTTCCTAAGAATGGCAATAAAGTCTGTAATATCTATATTATCATTTTATGTGGGAAAAAAATGGATCATGCTCATACAGAAATCTAGTTACAATGGTAATCACCTCTCCTATTGTTATATTATTCTAATAAATCATAATGCTTATACTCAAATCAGAGCCTCCTCTTGTGTTTTTTCATGTCTAATTTACTAAAACATTAATATTTCCTCCCCCTAAGTAATCTGGAGTATGTCCCCACTCCCGACACTTGACATATCTGTGAGTGCAAAGGCAAACTGGCATCACGTGTGTATCCAAAATCTACATTGTGCCTTTTACAAAAGGTGCTAAGAGGTCAGAAGACATTCTAAACTTTGCCATTTTCAAGTTTCTTTGTGAGATACAATGAAAAAAAATGTTCATGATATCCTTGATTTATATTTTGAGCAAAATACAAGAGGGAAAAAGTGGATGGGGACATGATGTGTAAGGGACATGATGTGTAAGGGACACATAAGCCAACCTGAAAAGGGCAGTCAACCTGAAAGTTCTCATAATGCCCAGTCGGAACAATCTGGCCCATCAAGTAAATAAACACATACTGGAACACTGGATTGTAACCCAAAAAATAAGATAACTATCCATGAGTTTATAAGTAAGAGTGACAAGAGGCAAATCTTCCTTACAGAATATTATAATTAATACATGTAAGAGGGAATGAAACACAGTGAAATATTATAATTAATACATGTAAGAGGGAATGAAACACAGTGAAAACCATCAGCAAATCATTACAATAGTAACTGCTGCAGGCAAGATTCACCAATTAAAGCTAGAAATTAATCTGTGAAACTTTTAGGGGAAACAGGATATTTGCATGAACTCAAAGCATGCCCCCCCAAATATGGATATTGGAATATGCCCAGAAATTCACTAAATACCACATCCTACCAAAGATGGAGCCTAGTTATTAACTCCCTTCCTTGAGTGTGAGTTCTTAGTGACTGGCTTCCAATAGAGTATGGAAATGGAAAACTTTCTTTTAATTTTAATTTTAATATATACCAAGTAAGATGCTAATATTTTTGGTGAATGGCATGCAGTAATTCATTGTACTAATCTTACTCTTCTGTTAACCTAAATTGTATCAAGATAAAAGTTTAAAAAAAAAAGCACAGGACATTAACAAAAGGGGTACAAACAATCTCTTTGAAAAGCTAGCTCCTGATATTTTTTAAACTTGATAAATATACTTTATCTCAAATTAAATCAAATCATATATCATGCTGGAATATATAAAAATAAAATCTTAAATGAAAAGTTGCTTTTGAGGCAAAGTACTGTTAATACAGAAAAAAAAAGAAAAACTTCAACATCTTTAATTTTTAATTTAATACGCAGGTACTAGGTTTTAATTTAAAGAGGAGAAAATTCAGTGAAAAAGTTAAGATAGTTAAGACTGATATAAGGTTAAGGCTAGATGTTAAGCTAGGTAAATAACAGGCTTTTACTATCTTGATGGTAGGGATCAAAGATAATTTCAATTGAAAATTATGCTGGCTCTTAGTTTCTCCAATAAATCTTCACGGTCTAATTACACTGGAAATTTTCTACTCTCATTATTTATAATCTGAACATAATCTTCATACCTATGTATGTGAACACTAACATTTTTACTTTTCACTTAAAAAAATGACTACTGTGAAAGCATAAAACAATGTCCTTTTAAAAAGTTACTAAAACAGATTTTGGTTCAAAATTCTATTTAGATGTAATATCTTCACTTTCATAAAGTTATCAAACTGCCTATATAAAATAGGAGATGAATCTAATGACTGTTAAGTGAAATACTGGTATGTGAAAAGATTATAGAACATCATGTTTATTATAACCCATTTTTATATACTTTATCATTATAATAGTTTCCTTTTATTTTTAAACAAGTTGCACACATGTA